ACCCCCTCCGTGGAAATTTCAATGGTTTCTCCATGGCTATCGTGGCATTGATGACTCCATGTACGACTATCTGATACCCAAACAATTGGATGAAATTCAAGACAAAGTGCGCCTCATTGATCGTTATGATCTGATGAAAATGTATCGGTGGGTTTACTGTTTTGTTCAGTCTGTTTTGTTTCACACAGTTCGCACTGTTTCAGTTAGTTGCATTTAGAAAATCGACCGCTTCTGACATTTTCTCGGCTTGAATAAAGATGCTGTATTTATTTTATGCAGTTTATACGTGGTAGTATTCTTCATTTCTGGTTAGTGCTCCTCCACCTCGTTGTCGATGCCACCAATTCTGTGATCATATTTCGGGTGAACGTACTTTGAAGATCAATTTTTACTTCTAATGAAATTACTCTGGGTTCTCCTACAGTAAATCTGTTTTTATTGTTCGGTGTACTGTCATTTGAGTATTAGCCTTCATTTGTGATTTAAAAATAAACCTATAGTTTATACAGGTATCAGAACACTTAACTCTACGATAAAACAGCTCGAATGTTTGCCCACCATACGACCGTGAGTAGCTGTACCAAGGGATTGGGTGTCTAAGGGCTGCTCTTTACCAAATACTGTTGGGTCGGGAAAATTGCACCTCTCGAACACCGCTGCTTGTTAAGATTGTTTCGTTGTATTTGTTTGTGTCACCCATGAAAACCGAGCTGAACCGGACCGTGTTTATCGTTTGCTTAGTGTTCGACGCTCGTATTTTGAGGTCGAAATGCAGTCTCCTATTCACGTTTTCGACATATTCTCAGAATGTACCGAATCAAGGCCCCGGTAACGAGAAAAATCCTCCATTGGCCGAGGTCATAGAAACTCTCGTGCTTTTCAACTTTACATATCGGAATACGAGCTCGTAAACTCGGATTTTTATATACATTTATATATATTTTTATATATAGTTAAGTTTGCCTAGTTTTAGTTACGTGTCTGATCAACAGAAGTGGAAATGACGTTGGGATCAGTTTTTACTGTTGTTCGAGGTACTCACGTGGTTTGCATTTGTTAGACAAGTATCCTCTCTGTTCCTCACTTGACTAATGATCCACCACACTTCATCCCTTACGAACTTTTACTCTACAGTTCACGTGTATGTGAGGAGGAGAAACAAGCCGTTTTTGGTGATGTGCAATTACAACATCAAGATCTGATTCGGTTTCACGAGCAACGACGTCGTGAATTGATTGAACGGATCCACCCCGGGAAGGCACTCGAGAAAACTCGTTTTTCAGGCTAGACCTGTCTCTCTACGGCCTCTTTTCTGTATTTTTACTTACAAATAAACCTTGAATATCATTGATTTTTGTGTGGTCTGGTAACATATTTTTATTCAGTGACAAGATTCGCACTCAATTTTAATTAATTCATATGAAGAGATCTAGTTTAATTGAAGACTTCTGTGAGGAATACCCGGTGTATGTTTCTCCTCTGAAGCGGATTTGATCCGACACAGTGAACTCCAGAGGCAACACAAAAGCGTAGATGCCTCATTCGTACTAGTAAGAGTCGGGTTCTGTACGTAGAGCGCCCGAAAACTGGTTGGTTTCGCTGAGCATTGCTAATCCTCGCATCTGTTGTCTACAACTGTCCGAGTTAGCTCACTTCTTGCAGTTACTTTTCTTTTTTTCAAATCGAGCAATCTGCCAAACAGCAACACTCAAGTGCTACACCGATAGTAGCGAAAAATCAATCTCCGGAGGCGGTCTGAATTCAACAGTTATCTACTGTCTCTCGTAGTTTATGCATCAAACGTTTCTGATAAAAAAATCTATTTTGTCATCATACTTATTCGCACGAGGTGTCCGACAGGAATGGCACCTATGAGTTGTTAGTGTTTTGTTCTTTGCGGCTTACTCCACCTCTTTGGTCTAAATTATTGACCCAAATCTGATCTGCGGCCACATACTGGTAGAACACACCAAGTGTACTCCAATGCAGTCACCAGCACCCACGGTGGCATGCTTTGGGTTCGAACCATGTCACCAAACTCCGCAGGTGTCCGGTTCAATATCACGCCTAACCTCGAGGGCCTTGTGCTGTTCACTCAGGCAGTAGATTGCCGGCTTCTATGCGCGAACACTAGGTCCTCTTAGGGCGTAATCAAAAATTGCCCTCGTGGTTGACACTTAATTGTGCAAAGATAATTGTTTGGTAAGCATTTCGTTACCGGTGAACATTAAACAGGATATGTTAACTATTTACTAGTATATAATGAATAGCCAAGGGATTGATCCCGAAATCAGTTGTTTCAAGTGTAACTACAATGAACACAAACTGAAAATAATTTCATACTGCATCGCGCAGGATAATCAGGACTGTGCTGCCCATTGCATCGTGCTGGGTGTGCAGTTATGAGTGGGCAACTGCTCAGATATCCCAACCTTTGTTTAACTCTGTCTTCCGTACTCAACGCTATCCCTTTACCCCTTCATTCGACCCGCAACATTCCCTCAGACAACTTGATCGTCACTCGCCAGAGGTCGGTGCCAGATAGCACTGTTAATAAAGTGCAGATTTTGAAGCCTCGTCAACCTCTCAATCTGGGGGCTTTCAACGTGGGGACTCTAATGCAGGTCTGTTGCGTATCGGAGAAATGAATTTGTATTTGTATAACTTTTGCAAGCTGAGATATGCCTACATTTCAGTACACTGGTCGTCACACCGGAGAAAATATAGAAGTATAAACAAATTCAATAGATAGCTGTGTAAAAAAAATAAATGTCTCTAAAGTGTGATTCATTCAATTAAACATTGACGTAACTCATTTATAACTCGTTCCTTGTTGGTCAAGATGCGATACAATGGAGCAGTGAAGTAGAATAGGGAGAACGCATTGTCTAACAAAAGAGAACAAAGCTTGTTGGGGAGTGCGAAATTGTCTGAGTTTTCGGAGCTGAAACGGGAGGCACCGAAGTTTTCCCATGCAGTTCAGAATGTGTGTCGACCACCGAAGATTATTATCGATAGTAACACCCAGATATTTGGCTGAGGTCACTCTAGACAAAAGGTTACTATTAAGGGTTATAGTGTTTGACGGAAATGTAGAGTAGGGAGAACTAAAACAGCACTCCAAGCACTTGGATGTGTTAAGATTAAGACCAGGCTGGTTTGAAACTGATCGATTCGGGACAGATTTTCAGTGAAGGAAGAAAATTCCGAAGAAGAAGAAACGGTTTGATATAAAGCCGCGTCGTCAGCGTACTTTTGGATATGAGCAGGGTGTGTAACTGAAAGATCACTAATGAAAGCAGAGAAAAGAGACGGAGAGAGCACTTCGAAGCACACCAGAATTATTGATTAGAGAACTTGGGATGCCCCTGCCCAGCTTTGTGCACTGGGTTCTTTCGGTGAAATAATCAGAAAGCCGTGAAAGCAGCTGTCTCGGGGTGCAAAAAAATTCAAGTTTAAAAAAGAGGGATGACCAGGATAGAATCAAAAGCAGACGAATAATCGAGAAAAACGCAGCG